AAGATAATTTGGACATTTCAGTTCTTGTTGATACGCTTCCAATTCTACCGCTATGTGAGTTCCTCAAACATAGTTATTAAGTAATTTATATTGTTTATTTCAAAATAGTTGATAGCTTATTTCCATTAATAGCTTATTTTCATTCTTCAAAGAGTGTGTGAAAGATGGTAGACAGAACCAACTACACCGATGGCTCTGAGTTAACTTATCGAGAGAAAAATCATATGGTCGCATATTGTACTGACATTGAGAATTACAATGCCTTGTATCGAACTCCTCCAAATTATGGTGAATACGTGCCACTGGTGCACGTATTGAACAACGATAACTTTCATGGAGATTTCTTGGTAAGATTTTTTACTATTACGACATCCATGCATCTTTTGCATACTTCTAAAACTGAACTACATTGCTAACTACGAAGTTATTACTATGTTTTTCAACAGAAAATCCCGATGGATTGTGTGCCTCATTTGATGTATCAGAATGGTCGTCTGGATGTTTTGAACATACAGCTAGGTCGTCCTACGAATCTCACATGTGCATATCGGGTTTCTAAAAACGGTGAACACATGATAATCAAAGAATGGAAGAAATGTATGGACATTCGTAAGGAGGTTCTTGGAAGCAACATTGCGCGAAAGGCAAGAATTGGAGACAGGATAATCTCCATTCTCCATAATGGAGAGTTAGGGGCTATCTTATTTTATGCTATTTTACCCAAAATAATATAGTAGGTCCTAAGAATATGTAGTAGGTCCTATGAGGTACAATATGTTTATGAGAGTTGATGATGATGAGTATTTGTGATTATGTCTAGTGACCAACTTGTATGTGATGTCTCATTGATGAAAACGATGATCATGAGGAGGTGTTATATGACAATGATGTATTATGATGATAAGTTGTTAATGATATGATGATGATGATGATGATGATGATGATGATGATGATATTTATTATATTATTGGGTGAAAGAACCGTGGATTAGTTTCAAGTGGATGTCCATCCACTTGAAACTAGTCCACGGTTCTTTCTCCCACTGATGTAATAACTCATTATGATGTAAAATCATTCTCTAAATTATTGCGGTATGAAAACTTATATAAAGGTGTATGAATATAACCTGAAATAAAAAAAAGAAATACGGAATAATAGTAGTAGCGCGTGCTAGGAGAAGCGCTACTACTAATTACCAGTAGTGCTCGTTTTAGAAAGCGCTGCTACTAAGTCGATATAGCAGTAGCGTTGTCCAGCCCACGCTACTGCTAACCTTTAGCGGTAGCGCCTTACTAGTAGCGCGGTACTCCGTGCTACTGATAGGCTTTAAACACGCGCTACTGCTAGGGTTTTCCCTAGTAGTGGAAAAAGCGAGATATTGGCCCCCAATTTTTGTTACTTGTTCGTTGTGTGTAAGATCTTTTAGAAACTCTTGGTCTTACATGGTGTTAATTCAACAATTGGTCTGCTTTAGCCTCTTGCTACATGAAACATTTGATCGTCTCCTTTGTTGCCAACTTTCAGCTGACGTTTTCTTATATTCCGTTATTGCTTGAAGTTATTGCGTAAGATCTTTCCGAAACTCTTGGTCTTATATAGCTTTAGTTCAACAATTAGTCTGCTTTAGCCTTTTGCTACATGAAACGTTTTATCGTCTCCTTTGTTGCCAACTTTCAGCTGGCGTTTTCTTATATTCCGTTATTGCTTGAAGTTATATTGAATCATATCATGGAATGAAGTCCAATATGGCCTTCTTTTTGCCAATTTGCTATATATATCCTTTCTAGAAACCTGATGCCGATTAACCCTATCCACAGTGATCCGATGGTTTGAATGAATGCTTTGGTCTATGCAACCTGCTTTACTGATGCTGCATGGTAGAACATAATGAAATTCTCGCAATGGTATTTATGTAACACCTACAGCCTTGTGTACATAATTATCTTGCTCCATGTAACCAGTAGCTTTTAGTCATCTTGGTGCTTTACTAATCTGGATATGTGATAGTATTGTATTTTCTTCTACAGTTCATCAGGGTTGTCACTAGCATATGCCAAGCTAATTCAACAATTAGCAGTCTTTAAAGGATATTCAGGTTAGTTACTTGTATAGTTGTATATGACCAATATATATGTGCTACAACCTGAGATATGCAAGTTTGCATAGTTTTTTATGGCATGATAGCATCTGATTATTCTGCAGTGGCATTCTGTGCTCTCAAGCTTGCCGAAAATAAGTTCCCATCCTCAACGAATTCACAGATCAACCTTCTCAAAATGCAATTGCTACATGAGCGTGCCCTGCATCGGTACAAAGCTATTTCTTCACTTCTTTTATCAACTGCACTGTGCGTCCACAATTTGCTTTGTTATTATTTGGTATAAAATTGATCTATGTAGAGGACACTTGAGAATTGCGCAACAAATCTGCGATGAATTTGGGGTGCTCTCATCTTCTGTCAGTGGAGTTGACATTGAGCCAAAGACTGAAGCTAGTCTACGGCGTGCCTTCTCGTTACTCGCTGCAAAACAGTTTAGCCAGGTTCTGAATTTACCTGCTTACTGGTTTTAACCAAGAAGCATCCGAACATCCCCCCTCTCTCGCTCTCTCTCTTGCCTTCTTTCGTCTGGCTTGTTCAGAGCATTTCAACCATGTTGGTCTAAATATTCATGGAAAAAGTTCTGTTCCCCTAATACTTGAATTTCCTTTATGCAGGCAGTAGCAGTGGTGAATTCTCTTTTCACTACATGCTACAAGTACAACACGCAACTAGAGAATGCAACTGTTCTTTTATTACTTGCGGAAATACATAGAGTAAGATAAATCATTTTTGTTGAGACTGGAACCTAATGAATATTGAAATGTCATGCAGAGAGAACTAATATTTTCCCTCCCTGTCTCACAGAAGTCCGATAACGGAGTCCTTGGGCTCCCTTACGCATTAGCCAGCCAATCGTTCTACAAATCATTTAATTTGGATCTGCTTGAAGCTTCAGCCACACTTACTCTCGCTGAACTGTGGCTAGCTCTTGGACCAAGCCATGTGAAGAGGGCCTTAGGTCTTGTTTATCAAAGCCTTCCTATGATTCTCGGCCATGGCAGTCTTGAGTTGCGTGCTCGATCTCAGATAGTCTTAGCAAAATGTCATTTAACTGATCCAGAATTTTCAGGTATGAACCGGATGGTGGTTTCCTATCCTGTGTTCTTAGTTTACACTCCATTGTTTGATCGACCTTTCGTTATTATGACAGTCTCTGGAGATGCTCGTGCTGTTTTGAACCCATTAAATCAAGCGGCTGAAAACGTGCAGGTTTTAGAGGTGAGCTGATGGTTCCATCTCAAACATTCTTCCTGAACCATGAGAAATTACTGGGATCGAGTTCAGAATGCATGAAAAAGGACCTAACATCTCCACACAAACGAAAATCTATTGTGATATGCAATACCACAAGATGATGGTAGAGGTGTATTATCTCAAGGCAATGACATATGACCACCTGGGCAAGGAAGGCAAGAGGGAGGAAGTTGCAGCTTGTTTCAAGGAGCACGTTACTGCCCTTGAGAACCCGTGCAACAAGGACGATTCACTTGCTTACTCACAGTTAATTCACAGACTCCTCTGAAAGTTGTGATGGACAAGAAACAGAATGTAACTCCAGTTTCTGTTTGAAGTGCTCTGCTGTTTTTGCTTTCTTTATGTTGTGTGCGATTGGCAGCACCTCTAATAGATACGGGACACACTATATTTCCATGTTGAGATACTGAGCCAAACTGGTTTCGACTCGTATCGTTTTCATGCAAGCGAATCTTATTCTCCGACATGCTTCTCGTCCTTACATTTGTGGAGTTCGCTGTGGTGCTACGAGATCATCCTCTCTCCAATGCAGACCAACTAGGCAATCTTGTTTTAGAATCTTAATTGACCTGCTGAGCCGATGAGGTGTTATTTCAGTGTTGTAATGGAGCTGCGGGCTAAAAGTACAGTGTACCCTTAATGCCAGCCATGGCCGCCATATGACAAACATTGTTGAGATATCTATAACCATGCCTCCCTCCCTCGTAATATCTTTCAGTGGCATCATGAACAAACTCAACAATATAACCATCACTCAAAGCATTCTTTTCATGATCCTCATATATTTGTGTGTATACATGTGTCTAATATTTTAACATTGGTTTTGTATAGGTAAATATGTTCATATAAACTTCTAGAGTATAAATTGAACATTGGTATCACAACTTTGGTTTAGTGATAAGTTGACAACATGTGTATGTTTTATTTGGAATTTAAATACGTCACTTATAATAATAACTGTGTAACATAAAAAAACAATGTGAATTTTATTTTCATGTACATACAGTTTGATTATTGATATGCTATATACAAGAGTTGTTCCTAGTCTCTCACAACCAAATTAAACTCACAGTCACAACCAGATTGGTTTTTTATATACTTTAAAGAAAAGTTGAACTGACACTGTTCGGTCGGGCAATAAAGCTGATGGTATAAAATATTTCAAGGTCAAATGATTGAAAGAAATTGTGAGTTCGCCATCAAACCTCACACTTTCAGGTAGTATGAAAAATTAACCTTCTCATTTATATTTAGCATATCTTTTGGTGGCAATAAATTAATCATGTTAACACTTTCCGTATCAAACCTGGAACTTGTGAAGATTTTCCTATGCATCAAACACATCACATCATTTATATGGCATTAACACTTTATATTTCATACAAAAGAGAAGGATGATCATATCTTAGGGAAATTAATGACATATTTTCCAACACAAATTATCATAGTGCAATTAATGCTATAATTTTCTATAGGTGATATAGCTTAATGCAATTGATATATGATATCTTTTGTACGCGTACAATGAACTAATTCCTTATCATATATCTTATAATTATTTGCAACATTAAATGTGCGGTACGCTCAGATGCATATAAATATGGTGGTATAGGAATTTCAAAGCTAACAATTCCAGGTTTTAACAATGAAAGGAACACAAGCCATTAGTGTGACTCTTCTCATGTCATTTCTTGTTCTAGCGACTAGAGGAAAAGATGTGAGCTATAGAATGCAAGAGGAAGACAGTACTCAGATTCTCACTTATCAAGGAGTTAATAAAACCATTCAGGTATGACTAATTAACCTTCTCATATATATTTAGCACATATTTTGGTGACTAACAAGCAAAGGAAACCTCAAAATAGATGGAAGACGGAGACGTCTATGACTGCATCGATGTGTATAAGCAACCGGCATTTAACCACCCATTGTTGAAAGACCATAAAATCCAGGTAAAGACCATAGAATTGCTCAATATATTGTCAGTTCATAACTAAGTCCACAAATGTTGCTTTCGTGTGTTCTACTCCCTTCTTGTTTCAGCGATCTTTCTGGATATGCTTTTTCACATTACAAAATTTGTACTATTGAAAGTGAACTAAAGTAACAACCTTTTCACATAGTATAAGCTATGTCAATGATGAATAAAACTACAACATGTTTTGTGTGTATTGTCTGATGCATTTATAATATTTTGTAACATGGTGGTTGATTTTATTTTCAAACAGATGAAACCAAGGTCTTTCCCTGTTTGGAAGGATACCCAAACATTTCCTTCGGATTCTTTTTCACAAGTGCAACCATCTATCATCAAGTGCCCAACAGGAACAATTCCAATACTGCGTAGTAATGCAAGTAGCACCATAGCAACACACAATATTGATGGGCTAAAAAATGATATGCAATGGGAGGTGAGTTTTTGTACAAGTTACAAAATGAATTTGTTATCATAGTTTGATGGGATTTTTTGATAGGGTTGATTATGCCAATTGACGTATAATTGTTGCATTTATGATGCATATCAAATGTACAATGTTGGATTAAAGATGTACCATAGACACTATAAATAATCTGATTAAATTCCAAGAAAGTACTCTAAGAAAAAAATAGTCATATTTGGATGGTAACAGTTAATTTTCCATCGAGGGTCACAATAATGAACTATTTAGATTCATCAAGTTATTATTGACAATGAGTTTTTTTGGCAATTTTATAGTGAATGAAGGGCCTCATACTCTACAACATTTGAGTAGTTTGTTCAGTCAAAGAACATTCGAGTAGTTAGGAATGATTTTTGTGCCTTCAGATTGTTATCTCTACAAAATAAGTTATGTATATTACCTCGCAAAAAAATGTTATGTATGAGCATTATTTCAGTTGTACATGAAGGAATTCCAATTTCATTACCTAGTTTTAGTAACACTCTCTTGGAGAGTTTCATATATACTAGTCCCAAATTCTTAGTTTTTAGCATTAAGTTGTTTTCGTTGATCGTTACTCTTTCCTTCCCAAAATGTGAATGACCACGCATCTTAAGATTGAAGTTGTATCGACAATGTGGCAATATGAAATGAAAGTGATAACATTTAAAATGCATTTGAATATGAATAATGTAATATGATTTATGTGTCACATAACCTAGAACTTCTTGGCTTAATTAGTGGTCCAATTAAACATTCTGATGGGATTGGCGCCTTACATTTTTTATAACGTGAATTACATGTGATATCTCAAGTTTATCTATACATAGTATTCATTCTTCACATTTGCAGATGTTACTTTTATTTCTTGCAGAGGGCGGGACTCAGATACATTGGTGATTTATTTGGGGCGCGTGCTCTAATAAATGTTTGGGAGCCAAAGGTTAATAAAGGTAGCCAGGATTCTAGTGCACTTTGGATAAATATTGAAAATGGAAGAGGACAACACACGGATCGGATGGGCGCTGGTCTTCGGGTATCTCCAACATTGAGTCGTGATGCTTTTGTTAGATTTCATGTTGCTTGGGTAATGCATACTATTATTTGGATACATGCTATTATTGGCTATATATTTGTATGATAAGAAATTAATAATGTATGTTGATAATTTGTTTTTTGTTTTTGGCCTTGGAACAAACTTCACAGTACGATGGCTATTCAAAGAAGTCATGCATTGACTTCAACTGTCCTGGATATGTGCAAGTCCACCACAACGTTGCTCCTGGATCAAGAATTCAACCATCCTCTATCTATGGTGGAGTACAGAAAGTAGTAGACGTTCAAATATTCAAGGTATTATGTCATCCTTAAAATTTGTGATTTCTCAAGCACCTTGTACGAATTAACTAATTATTAGTTTATTTATGGGCATATAATGAACTAATTAATAATGAATTATTATTTTAGGAGCCGACATCAGGCCATTGGTGGGTGAGTGTCAATAAAATACCAATTGGATATTGGCCGGGCGGATTATTCAAATTCATTAGATACAAGGGTGATTTCGCGTTCTGGGGCGGGCAGGTTGAGGGGCCGACTGCCGCATCAAACTCTCCGCAAATGGGTAGCGGGCAATTTGCTTCGGAAGGATTCAGAAAAGCGGCGTTCATGGAAGGCATTGAGATTGCTGATGATAAGGGCTGGTTTGTGACCCCGGATATATCTCGAGTGAAGCATGGGTCGAGCGATCGGTCCAAATACACCGCCGATGGATTTGAAGTTACAAAGGATTTAGGTATGCGTATCTTCTATGGTGGACCAGGGTCCAAGAGGGCCTGATGATAGTAATCTATGTATGGGCTCGACAAGTTAATAAAACAGATTCCATGCAAAGTGGTCTTGCGGCATTATGTATGTTCGTATATCATCGACTTCCGTTGGTGCTGATTTTTGTTTCTTGTTTCTTTTGCCGTGAGGGAGTGCAAATGCAACGCGACGGTAGACGATACAAGTTGAAGCCATGCGCGCGCGCGTATATCCGTCGTCGGTGGTTTGGTCATTAGATTAAAATCGAACGGTCATCCTTCTTTCTTCTCAACAAATCGTACCACTACTTACTTAGTAATAACAAATGACAAACTCGGTCAACTCAATACTCGATGAGACCACCGAAAGACCGGGGCGCGCGTATATCCATCGTCGGCGTCGGTGGTTTGGTTCTACCGGAGCCGCGACTCGTCCTTGTGGTGGGAGACGAGCTTGGCGGTGTCACGCCACCGGGACACCTCGCGCTCCTTCTCCCGCAGCTTCCTCTGCGCGCGCTGCAGCTCCGTCTCCAGCTCCGCGATCCGCTGCTCGTGCCGCGACTGCAGGAGCTCGTGCAGCCTCCGCTCCAGCACCCGCGCCGGCACGCCGCCGTGGCACGGCTTGCTCTCTTCGACCTCCTCGTCAGTATCTCCCTCCTCCTCCTCCTCCTCCTCCTCCTCGTTGTCTTCGTGTTCCTTGCAATCTCTTGCCGCGTCACCGAGGACACCGTCTATGTGGACGCAAGCAAGGGAACCGCTCTCCGATGAGATGTCGCTCTTCGCCTCGGACTGCAAAATCAATGGGAATTCAGTTCAGCACAGCGTCAAATTGGCACAGAGGGTGCACGCCGGCGGCATGAGTGCACGGTACCTCGAGCTGGTGATCTCGCCGCGGTCTCACGCATTCCTCCTCCCGGTCGCCCTCGTCGGAGTCGAGCTGCAGGCGCGTCAGTTCCGCCTCGAGCTCCGCTTCCATCTGATCCATCGCAGCGACAGCATCTCCAACGCCAGCATCGCCGCACGCCGAGGCGGCATCGCGTGAACCACGGAACAACGAGGCGTCCTCGCCGCCGGCGTCAGCAAAGACGATGCGCTCCTTCACGACGCTGGCACCGTCGTCGACATGGCCGCCGTCAGACAAGCCGGAGCGGCCGCTGCCACGCGCCTCCGCCCTGACGTCCAGCACCAGCCGCTCCATCTGGGCGCGCAGCTCCGCCATCCTGCTCAGCTCCGCCGCGCCCCTGGACAGCAGCAGCACCAGGCCGGCGCCCAGCCCGAGGCTCGCGGCCGACACCTCCGGCGCCGCCTTCATCCCTGCGCAAACAATTAAACCACGCCACGCCATTGGCCATAACCATCAAACGCCGATCACAATTAACTCAGCCAGTTTAATCACTCACGTACCCTGCAGTGAACTCCGAGGCGACTCGCGAACCTCTGTTTCTTGCTTGGCCGCCATTACCACCTTAGGCGCGGCCGCCTCCTCCTCTACGGCGTCCTCCTTGGCGGCCGCTCCGGCGCCGCTGGAGCAGTAGCGGGGGATGCGCATGCGGCAGCCGAACCCGCCGCTGCCCCTGCCGAGGATGCGCGACAGCAAGGACCGCGGTGAGCGGCACTCGCGCCGGATCCTGCTGGCGCCGGCAGCGTTGGTGAGGAGGGCGCCGACGGTGGCGGGCGAGGAAGGCGGCGAGGCCGAGAGGCGCGGGGGCAGCGGCAGCGCTTGCGCCGTGCTCGTCTGCATTGCCATTAGCGACCGAGACTCGGACTGGCGCGGCAATGGCAAGGGGATTTGAGGAATGTTGGAGGACTCCACAGGGTTGATGGAGGCGGGCGTATTTACAAGGAGCCAGAAATGGTGGGGAGCGTGGGGTTTAAATGGGCGTTAAACATTCCATGTCCTTTGACCAACCACGCTTCATTTTCCCCTTGATTGAAGTAACGCTGTCCATTTCAGGCGACTGAGGATAGAGGGGAGTATACTAGTAGTAACGTTTTTCCGAATCTTTTCGATATTTGTCAGCTGTTTGAATTTTTGAATCCCTGTCTTTAAAATAGTACTCTTTGAGTTTGAAGTCTGTCACCTCCATGACAAGTTTGTGCAGTTCCGGTTTGTAAGGGTTGAGAGTTGATACATGTACTGAAAAAGTTGACTTGTTTAAAAAATAATCAGGCAACCGATATATTAAGACGTCAACTGAATTTCTACGCCTGAAAGCAGAATTTTTGCCGAATGGAGGTGCTTCTCGTGTCCAATTTTATTCGAATTAAATCAATAAAAAACCATGGCGAAGCAAGTTGACTGGTGCTTCTCGTCTACCTTGGCTTGTTCCTGCATGCCTTCTTGATGAAATAGTGGCTTCGAGCAATGGCATGGAGTTGACTCAAGCCTTTTTTGCATGTTAGCTCAGTTGGGGAGGTGCCCCCTTGTTTCCTATCCAGAGTTAGACAAAGACAACTACGGGTGACTGTAAGACAATAAGTTTTGGGTAACCAGTACAACCCTCTAGGGGTGGCTTATCTCATTATATATAATGGTTGTGTTATAATATGTACCATATACGTACATAGGTACAGAAGCTATACATAGTCTAACACCCTCCCTCAATCTTAGCCACTTTCTAAAGAACTGAGAAGGGTAAGATTGCGCCTACAAGCCTCAAACTGTGGCAGCGGTAAAGGCTTAGTGAAGATGTCTGCAAGTTGATCCTTAGATGAGATAAACTTGATCTGGAGTTGCTTCTGTGATACACGTTCCCGTACAAAGTGATAGTCAACTTCAATGTGTTTCATTCGGGCATGAAATACTGGATTTGCAGAAAGGTATGTAGCACCGATGTTATCACACCAAAGAATAGGAGGCTGTGATTGAGACAAACCCAACTCCTGAAGCAAAGACTGCACCCAAATAATCTCTGCAGTAGCATTAGCCACAGCCTTGTACTCAGCTTCAGTACTGCTACGTGACACAGTAGCCTGTTTCCGAGCACTCCAGGCGATCAAATTAGAGCCAAAAAATACTGCATAACCCCCCGTGGATCGCCTGTCATCTGGGCTACCAGCCCAATCTGCATCAGAGAAGGCCGAAAGGACCCGAGAGGAAGTCGGCCGAATATGCATACCAAATGTCAGGGTGAACTGAACATAACGAAGAATGCGTTTAACAGCAGCCCAATGAGTATCTCTGGGAGCCTGAAGATACTGACAAACCCTGTTAACAGCATAAGAGATATCTGGTTTCGTGATCGTCAAGTACTGAAGTCCACCAACAATGCTCCTGTACTCTGTGGCATCCGCAGGAGACAAAAGCTCACCATCAACAGCTGTTATCTTGTCGGTAGACGACATGGGTGTGGTGGTCGGTTTGCACTTCAGCATGCCAGCTCTCTGTAACAACTCCAAGGAGTACTTCTTCTGCGTAAGGACAAGACCAGTAGCACGAGAAGTGACCTCAACTCCAAGAAAGTAGTGAAGCTTCCCAAGATCTTTGACCGCAAAATCAGCACCAAGAGAGCAGACAAGAGCATCAGCAGCATACTGAGAAGAGCTGACAAGGATAATATCATCGACATATACCAAAAGATACATAGTGACTTCTGGCTTCTGTAGAAGAAATAACGAAGTGTCAGCAGTAGACGGCACAAACCCATGAGCACGAAGGGCAGAGGCAAGGCGGGCATGCCAGGCACGAGGAGCTTGCTTCAAACCATATAGTGCTTTGGAAAGACGACAGATATAGTCAGGACGATCAGGATCAGAGAAACCAGGCGGCTGTTTCATATAAACCTCTTCCTCCAAAAATCCATGTAGAAAAGCATTCTGCACATCAAGTTGACGAAGTGACCAACCACGAGAAACAGCAATGGAGAGAAGAAGCCGGATAGTGGTAGGCTTGACGACAGGACTGAAGGTGTCCTCATAGTCAAGACCATGACGCTGCCGAAAACCGCGAGCAACAAGTCGCGCTTTGTAACGCTCAATAGATCCATCCGAATGCTTCTTCACTTTGAATACCCATTTTGAGTCAATAACATTTACCCGTGGTGGTGGAGGAACGAGAGTCCATGTCTTGTTACGAAGAAGAGCATGAAACTCCTGCTCCATAGCCTCTCGCCAATGTGGAATGCGCAGGGCAGCCTGATATGAGCGAGGCTCAGAAGATGGATCCGCAACAGCAGCAGCCAAACAAGCAGCCAACCAAGCAACCGTACCATCCTTACGTTCCTTAGGTTTGAAAATGCCACTGCGACTGCGTGTATGTGGTCGGGACACAGGAACCACCGAGGTCGACGGAGCAGCCTGCAACGGGCTGGAGGACGGCGACGTTGACGAGTCAGCCGGTGACGAGGAGCCAGTCACGGTAGCCTCGGACTCGGTTGGCGAAGAAGGCCGACCCACCGGCGAAACCGGCAGAGCAGACGAAGCAGCTGGCGACTCCGGCATCACAGACCGGGCCGATGGCGAGCTCGGCATAGTGGGCCGTGGCGCGGCCGGTGTCGCGGGCCAATCCGCTGATGAAGGCGACGTGAGGACCCGAGCCACGGGCGAAGACGGCGTGACGGGCCGAGCCGCAGGCGAAGACGGCGTGACGGGCCGAGCGGCGGGCGACTCGGCGGCCGCTGGCGAAACGGACCGAGCAGTGGAGATGCTCGGCGCGACGGGCTCGTCGGGTGACCATGCATGGGCACGCGAATCAATGCCATGCAACATAGGGCGATCGACGTGCCCACCAGAAGACGACGATGATGATGGTGAATCCTCCAACAGCTCCAAACGAGCTCCACGTCCGGTTCCTGCACCATGGTTAGGTAACAGCAAAGGAGAGTATGCAACATCATCAAATTGGTCAGAAGCAACAGAGGATGAATGCAAGGATGGTGGTTCGACAGTGGACACAGGAAGGTTGGCAAAGGGAAAAACATGCTCATCAAACACGACGTCCCGAGATATATAGACACGATTAGTGGGAACATGAAGACATTTGTAACCTTTATGAAGAAAGCTATAGCCAAGAAAAACACACTTCTTAGAACGAAACTCAAGCTTGCGCTTGTTATATGGACGAAGATGCGGCCAGCAAGCACACCCAAATACCTTGAGAAAGGTATAATCAGGTTGTTCATTAAGGAGAACCTCAATGGGAGTCTTCATGTTTAAAACACGAGTAGGAGTACGGTTGATGAGAAAGCATGCAGTGGTGAAAGCATCACTCCAAAACCGAAACGGAACAGATGCATGGGCCAAAAGAGTAAGACCAGCTTCAACAATATGACGATGCTTACGTTCGACTGAACCATTCTGCTGATGTGTATGTGGACATGCTAAACGATGAGCTATCCCAAGCGACTGAAAGAAAGAGTTGAGGTTGCGATACTCGCCCCCCCCCCCCAGTCTGACTGGACATGAACAATTTTGTGCTTGAGAAGACGTTCAACATGTTTTTGAAACTGAACAAAAATATCAAACACATCAGATTTGCGTTTAATAAGGTAAAGCCAGGTAAAGCGACTATAAGCATCAACGAAACTGATATAGTAATTATGACCACTGACAGAAGTCTGAGCAGGACCCCATACATCTGAAAACACAAGTTCTAAAGGATGTTTCACCTCACGACTGGACTCCGAAAAAGGAAGTTGATGACTCTTCCCCTGCTGACAAGCATCACACACTGCTACATCTTTATGACTAGACAAACTAGCAAGCTCATGACGACGCAAAATATGACGGACAATAGGTGTGGCCGGGTGACCAAGACGAGCATGCCACTGTGACGGAGAGACCCGAACTCCACTGAAAACACGAGCGACACCAGGATGCTCCAGACGGTAGAGGCCCTGGCACAACCGCCCACTAAGAAGAATGTCCCTCGTGCCCCGATCCTTAATAAAAAGATCAAAAGGGTGAAATTCACAAAACACATTATTATCACGTGTGAGTTTAGGAACTGAAAGAAGATTACGGGTCACAGATGGAACTCGAAGAACATTGCGAAGCTGAAGACTCCTATTGGCATGTCTAGTGAGAAGAGATGCTTGACCAATATGAGAGATGTGCATACCTGCTCCATTGGCGGTGTGGATCTTGTCGGAGCCATGATAGGGTTCACGAGTGTGAAGCTTCCCCATCTCGCTGGTTAGATGCTCTGTCGCCCCAGAGTCCATGTACCAGTGTGGATCGATGGAGTAGGACTGAGTGTGTCCCTGTTGCTTCTGCGGCGCGGGACGATCAGCCATGGCGACCTGACGGGCATTGTTGCGTGTATCTTTGCCGTCATTGCCAAGACCAAGGAAGCTTCGCTGGAAGCGCTTATGACACTTGGAGGCCCAGTGCCCATCGCGGCCACAAAGCTGACACACACGTGGACCGCCAGCCCCAGTAGGTGGGGGGGCCGAGGCGGGCGACGGTGGCAGCCCCAAGGGAGACCAGGGTGATGAAGAAGAGCGGCCACCCTTGGTGGCGGCGTTGGCCGAGAGGGAGCCAGTGCCCCTGGTGCGGCGAGTCTCGACCCGTTGCTCAGTGAGAAGGAGCCGAGAGAAAACCTCGTGTGCCAGCATGGGTGTCGAGTTGCCCCGCTCGTTGATGATCTCGACTAAGGCATCATACTCCTCATCAAGACCATTGACAATAAACGAGTTGAACTCGGAGTCGGTGAGGGGCTGTCCAATGGAGGCCAATGTGTCGGCGAGGCCCTTGACCTTGTTGTAGAACTCAGTGACAGTGGAGTCAAGCTTCTGACACTCTCCAAGC